GGGAGTTATTGTGGAGTGCATAAAGCAGATCCTTCACGTGATAGCAGAGCGAACAGGCACAGGAGGGATAGTTAATCGATCGCAGATGGCGTTGTGCTCGCGGACGTATAAAAAAAGGTTAAACCTAAATGGGTCGCGAAATATACTTTGGCGGACGTTAATATACCTGGGCGACCCACCCAAGTAAGGTCTATGTGTGGGAAACCCTGTTACATATAGGCTACTAAAGCTAAGGGACCAAGTCACAGATTCAGGCACAGCTTCCCTTTGAGTTTCTTTTTATTAATGATATACAGCCTTCTGAGGCTATGTTAAAATCAGTATCACATTTATACACCTCTACCAGCGTGCTGCAACACCCCCATAGCCTGCTACCAGCATAAATCAACCTCAAACCTCCTCCAGCTCTCCAGCATAGATTCAGTCTGCCCCTTACTGTGTTACTGGATTTATTGCGGCAATCAAATCTCACTTTTTTGCTTGAATTGATCCACTCTATGAACACAGAGGGAAGGACAGCTTTGCTTTAATAGATCACCTGTGATTTATCGTTCCGCAGCCCAGCCCCATTTGCTTCGAGTATGTTTTTCTTCTTATCTTCTGATCCTTTTGAACTGCCCTGAACTTTTCCACCCCTTGTTCTTTTCCTCCAGGCTCGATTAAGATCTGCCTTCAAGCCTGTCACACCGAAAAACTTCAGCTCCATGCAAAACCTCTATCCCTCTTCCAAATCTGAGGATGTGGACCATGGCCTTTCCAATGGGCTGCACAGGTCTTACGCCCATGTCCCCAAAGCTGTCTCCACCTCCTCCTCCTCTTCCTCACCCTCCCGCCATGGAGCACCAACATCCAGTGGTAACAAGGTATTTCGTTTTTTGATCTTTGTGCATTGATTACAGAAGCAAAACAATAAACTTTTCGTGGACTGAATTGTTATTTGCTCCCTAAATGAATATCTTCTAAACCTATTAATATAACAATGATTAACAACAATATAATTATGTGTAGGCCATCTCCTCGGTGCGTGGGATTAGCCAGGAGGATGATAATCTGTCAGACTCGGGCCATAACTCCATGAACAGCCTGCCGCCATACCGGCCTCCTTTCCGCCCACACCTGTCTCACATCAGGTTTGCCACTGCTGCATTTCCTTAGCTCTATTTTGTATTCAAAGGAAGTGTTGCTTTGATTTATTTTTGTATTCTTAATGACTGTGGGAGGTGATAATGTAAGAGATATTAATGGCCTTTGGGGCTTTCTTCTTTTACTCCAGCGCATCTATGGGACACATCAACACCATCAGCTCCCTGGACCGCACCTCTCTGGGCCAGAAGGGTGTCGGGCCAGGGGGCGTGGCCATAGGAGAGATGGCCTCTCGGAGCATGGCCACCCTGAGCCGTCTGGCTCCATATGGAGGAGAGGCTCCTCCTCCTTATGAATGGACTCTCTCCCTGTCCGTGGAGGAAGTGGTGAGTACTGCAGAGAAGGGAGAATGGAGGAGCAGGTCGGAATGATTTACAGATGGCTGATTCCTTAATGTTGCCTTTCCAGGTCCGTGATCTGGAAGAGCGGCTGGTGGAGAAAGAGCACGAGCTGAAACAGATGAAGAGAAACCTAGATGAGAGTGAGGGCGCCATCGCCCAGGTGAGTCTGATGGTGTATTGTTCTTTATCATCAATCTATACATCAACCTGCCTTTCTTTTGAAGTCCGACCCCTATCTGGTGTCTGCATGCAGGTTTTCGAAGGGAAACAGCGTCTGTGGGAGAAGGAGGTGGACGAGCTGAAACACCTGTATGCTGCCAAGCTGCGCCAGGTTTCCCAGCATGCCCAGCGCTCTCAGCGCACCTTGCAGTTGCAGCTGTTTAAGGCCCAGCAGGAGAAGAACCGACTGCAAGAGGAGCTCGACAGCCGGAACAGAGAAAGGAGCCAGGAGGCTGGAGCCATGGTGACGAGAACCAGTCCCACTCTGGAGGAGACGCAGTGGGAGGTACGGCCTTGGGAGGACAGGGAAGGGGGGGGGGAACTTTATGGCAGAGAGAGAGAAGCACTTAGAAAGTAGTGATTACAGGGGACAGTGGATGTTAAAATGAGTACAAACAGGTTTGAAGAGTCAGTCAAATGTGTATTTCTCACTTATTTTCTCTCAGGTTTGCCAGAAGTCAGGGGAGATCTCCCTGCTGAAGCAGCAGCTGAGGGACTCCCAGGCGGAGGTGACCCAGAAGCTGAGTGAGATCTTCCAGCTGAAGACGCAGCTCAGGGAGACGCGCACAGATCTGCGCAACAAAGAGGGCCAGATGGATGCACTGAAGCTGGTCCTGCAGGGGACGCAGCGCCGCAGGTGCTCCTCTCAGCCTGCACATGAGGACGGAAAAGGAGCGGAGGAGAATCCTTCAGCTGGGGCAACAGGTAGATTTATGATTCTGTCTCTTAGTTGTGTGTCGTATGGCAATTTTTGCACTCTCTTTGATGGTTTGTAGGAATACAACTCACTTGAGTCATAGCACAAGCACAGATAAGAGTTAAGTTAATTTGTTGACAAAGCAAGTCCTCCCAAAAGACTTCACAAAAACATAATTGCATTTTCACAACCTGTCAACCTCAGAAAGAACAAACAGTATTTCAAACCTGCTAAAGCCTGCATATGCCAAGTTGAAGCAAGATAATTATATGTCACGGATGCCTGTTTTATCTCAGCGATTAAGGCATTAAAAGTGTGTTTCTTATCAACACAGCTGTAACTTGTCTGAGTTATTTTAGATTCATGAAGTCTACATACTTGGAGCCAAAATCTGGTTATTTGACTAACCAGGTCAGGAGCAGCCCATTTAAAAGCAGCCCATGTATTTTTATTATATCCCCCCTACGGCTCTGTTGGCCTGTAGCTGAAGCCATGTGAACCTCTTGCTTGCAGGAGTCTGCGGGGGCCCCACAGAGGAGCGTCTGCGCGCAGAGCTCCTGCTGGAGAGACGCCAGAGCGAGGGCCAGGCCATGGCTTTCGAAGAAGAGAGGCAGACATGGCAGACAGAAAAGGACAAGGTCATCCGCTACCAGAAGGAGCTGCAGGCCAGCTACTTAGAGATGTACTACCGCAACGAAGCGCTGGAGAAGGAGCTGCACCAGCTGAGGGCAGGCAGAGAGCAAGAGGGAGCAGGAGGAGCAGGAGGAGCAGAAGGAGCAGGAGGAGCAGGAGGAGCAGGAGGAGGCAGCAGAAATGGGACACTGGAAAGAGAAGTGCCAGAGCTGAGGAGTGAGAGAGAGGCTGAAAAACAAGACAACAGACCTTCCTCTGGTTTGCCGTGGATAGACAGAATTGAATCATCTGAAATTTGAATGTGCCAGACTAACCGGTCTGGCAGTGTGGTTTCTACAGGAGTCCATGTGCCTGCCAGGAAAAGGGAAAATAAATAGTTAACCAAATTGTGAGGAAAGTAAACCTTTTTGACCCACTAAGCAAACATTTGATGGAATTCATTTTTGACAGGTTTAAAGATTCCTAGTTGGTAAATGACTAGATTTAATAACTAGTTTAAATGCTTTATTCAAATCATTTTTTCAACAAAATGATGCGGTCCAAGCTCAAATTCTTGATTTACTATTTAAAGTATTTCAAAATGTCAATTTGTTGATACATTAACTCAGGTCTAAGATAATAATATATCAAAGTCTGACTTAATATCTCATCAATCTGACTTTGATTTGAAATGTAATCATACATTTCTTTTTATATTTTCTCCTTCTTTTCCTGGCAAAAAAGGGCTTCCATAGTTTGCGGTCTGTTGGCCATTCTATGCTTATTAATCCTTGTTGGTTTTAATAAAGCCCTAATCCTGTAAAGACTGAACCAAAAATCTCCAACAGAGCGCACTAAAGCCAGGGGTCGCTGCACAGAAATGGAGGATTGGTGTCAATGTTGTAAAAAGAACACAGCCTGCTATCCAACAACAAACCTGTAAATGAGCAAACTGATATCCTGTTTGTTATGTTCATTTGGAAATTACATTTTGGTTTGGACTGCTGTATAGTCTATTCAGTAACAAAGGGATTTAGTTTGGCCCAGTAACATTTCAGCAGCACATGTTGAGTGTGTGCAGAAGGTGGATTCACCTGGGCTCTGTGAGAGAAGCTGCATCTCTGGGTTAAGTATCAAGGATTAAAGTGATCTAGTGGAACTTTTTCTCATTCACCTTCCAGCTCCTGTCAGGTGAGTTCTATATATTTTGTACATAATGAAATTTGTTTTGGCCTTTTTTCATTGTATTTCCAGCACACTGCTGTCTTAAATGGGCACATTTTGATATCGTCTTTTGATTGCAATGAAAGCGATCAACAGATAAGGAAGCTGAACACGACTGCCCTGCTTGGTGCCATTTGTTGCACATCCCCAGCCAATAACAACCAAATGCATGACACAGGTGATGTTGTTCTCTTGTATTATTCATTTATGAACATTCAAAAGCCAGCTGTCAACCAACCTTTCAACATACTGTGACTCTTGTCTATTTACTGGAATTAAAACTGTACAGTATAAATGTATATGTTTGTTTTTGGATTCATAATAAACATGTATGAAGTGTTAAATGTGGCATTTGTGTAAATTATGGCTGCAAAGTGGTTTTCTGTCTACCGTTGTCTAAATGAAACTCACCAGAAATCGCTTGTCAAAATGTTAGTGGTGTAAGTCATGGTATTCTCCCGAGGGCTCAGACGCCTGCCTGCTCCGAGGGGCTTAACATCTCCAGAGAGCGTGCCAATAAAACCCAAGGACAGGAGCTTTATGACAGAATGAACAACAAAGCGGCGGAGGCTTTTGGGACTAATGTGGCTTTTAGAGGTTGAGCCTTGAATCCTTATCTCAGGCCTCTCCCCTAGGTCCTCCCTGCTCTCCCCCAGCCAGCCCTCACATACCATCTCCTGCAGGACAGACAGCGGAAGGGGGGGAAGAGAGAGTTAGCAGAGATGGAAATATAGGAGGATCTGTTTGCTTAAGAAAATAAGCACTACTATGGAAACTATCAAATGTGCAAACTTGAACAGGGGCCTAAGGATATATTAGCAGAGATGAAAGCTTAACACTTAAATTCATGTTTATGGCTTTACATAAGTGAGTTTATAAATACAATTATAGGAAAAGTAAGAGATAGCACATGTGAGTCCATAGTGCTGGTTGTTTTTTTCACAGGGTCATTATCTGAATAGCTATGAGCTGTGGCTGACTCACAAGGCCCTTACTTTGGCATTTAAATTATTATATAAACTGGGGCTTAATATAACTGCACATCTCAGAGTGGTTTACTGAAGTGGGATGATAAAGGATTCTTACCTCATGTTATCACTGTAGGAGGGTTGCAGTGCTGAATGCCATCTGTGCCGTTTATCTGATGAAATCACCTTATTGTGGAACATTAGTGTATCATTTCTGAAGGGGAAGATGGTTCCTGGTTGCGAAGCAGGATCAAATGAAAACCACTAGATTAGGATTTTATAGAATTAAAGGGTTTATAGTCTGAGTACGGATAATACAGCAAGAGCGCCACCAAGTGGGGATGACCGGAGGGCCGAGCAGCTGTAAAACCATAACTAAAAATGGTCAGTGAGTCAGTGTGGGACCATCACCAAATGCCAAAGTCACACACCTCCAAATGTGACTTGGAGTATAAATTTTTATTTTCATTTCAGATGCAAGTATATGAAACATGTTAGAGGATAAATATTTACAATAAAAGTTGCATAACACACAAAAGCAGTAAATGCAAACATTCAACAAAATTAATACGACAGGGGTACGGAGCGCTAGCAGTCTATCTGAAGGAACACTCGAAGAAGCTATGAATGATTGTCAACCAAAGAAAAAAAGACGAAATTCAGTGAAAGTCCACACAACACATGTGCTCTAACCCTTTTCCAAATAAAAACCAAACGCTAAAATCATTTATATTAAACTCTGAATGAGTGTAATGTTGCGTTGTCAGTGTGAGTTATGCTGGTGCGATGCAAAACTAATTAGCCTCACTTTGATGCGAGTTGACATCACCATTTTTCAAGAAGACACGGGGAACTTGCACTATTAGTATTGATAATCTAAAACAAACTGTATCGTACATCCAAATGCCTTGGACCTCGTGACACACTTCCCCCCCCCCCAGCTGAATAATATATACAAACTCCAACATCACCCAAACTATCAGCCCCACCAGTGAAATATGTGTCATCTTTGTTCAAGACTCCTTATATTAATGTACAACTGTAATACTAACTGCAAGGTGTGGTGTGAACTGTTACAATGAGCCCTGAGGAAATGCATTGATTTTAATGTTTTTCTATTCTGACTCCATCTGAAATAAAAGCTACGCAGCAGAGGCATTTTCTAAGTATATATTAAACAACAGCCACAATGATCAGAGGACTTCTTCCCCACCCACGACGAGTAAAGCTGAATCACAAGCCTACAGTCACTGCAAGTCAGACCATACGGCTACCGTCACACCATTTTACATCTCCAAATCACATGGCTTGCAAGCTTAGGATACACAATGTGGGGCAGAGTGAGGCGATGGCACAACGGGATGTGAACCGTAGAGTCGCTAGTTCTGAGTTACGCAGAAGTGTTGATTATGCATGTTGCTGTTCAGTTTATTTTACATGAGCCGTTGTGGCGGTTGCAATGAAAAATAGAAACAAAGCACATTTCACAGTAGTATATATTTTTGTTTCTTTTTTGTCACTGTTTGTTAAATACATACATAGAACAAGACACATGGCTTCTACAATGAGGAAAATCTTGCTGGTGCCGTAAGTCGCAAACAAAAGAAAAAGAAAGCTGTTCCACCTTTGATGAGTTAAATGTTTTACTGATCAAACGGAAACATCAGCTCAAAGTGACTTTGAAGCTAAGTGAGGCCTTTATTACATTATGGAGGATTAATGGGTCACAATCCAGAGTTCCATTCATGAGACCTCCACCAGCAAATAATATTCCTTCAACTCGGTTTGTTTTCCTGCCTTTCTTCCTCATGTATAATAATGTTAATTATCCTTCTGAAATCAGAAACGGCTTATCTATACCATTTACCTACACGCACCCATTCATTATCATTCAACTGCTTCCGTCACAAAAAAAGGAGAAAGAAAAAAAGAAGCAGTCATCCAACTCAAACGGTCGATAAAGCTGAAAAAACAAACACTATAAAGTATTATTACTTTAAAAAGATAAGCCTATAACTCTGCAGGCATTTGCAAATGTGTTTCAATCAATGAACCTTTTCCAGAGGTGCTTCTTCGTGAGGTCTCATTACTGACAGACTCCTCACTTTACAACCGGTTGTAGACGGACCATCCCCGCTGGACTCTGTATACTAAGCAAAGTTGAAGGGTCCGAGGTGGGTTACGGGGGTCCAAGGCTGTCCAGAGGAGCACTGGGATAAAACCTTAATGCTTACAATAACAGGCCAAGAGGCCAGGGACAGAGGAAAAAGGGCCAGAGCAAATGGTCCTGGAAATGCAAAGAGCTCCAGGGAACGTCATCCTTACTCGTGAAGAAAGTGTGCGCTATCAAAAGTAGATCTGCTTGGCATGTGAAGGGTTCTGCTCCATGGGGCAGTACGGACATTTCAACCTGAGGAAGAGAAACGGGAACAGGATGTTTGTTAAAAAGGATGATACTTCTTGTGTACTCTGATAAACACAAATCTAGTATCTGACCATTTTCAGTAATGAACAATTCGTTTTTTTGGATTGATAATGTAATTTAAAGAAAGCCATTGGTTTCCATTCATGTCACCACAGTATGTCAGGCTCAAAAATGTTTTGCTTTTTTTCAGAGCTCCACTGAGTTTATGTTTTAACTGCAAACAAAATACAAGTAATCGTTCATGTTCGCTTTTCAGTTATAATATGATTTTCAGATATAATAGAAAATTAGCTCTCAATATCAATGCAATATCTAAAGCAACAGTGCTTGTATGTTTTCCACTGGTTGATGACTTGAATTTATTCAGCACAAATAAGCATGTAAAATTAGTTAAATGCTTTGTTCAAAGATAATACTGTTCTGTTCTGGTTTTATGTGAAGTGTCTTTAAGCATTAGGAAAGGCACTATACAAATCTCATGTATTATAATACATGGCACGCATCAAACAGCCAGGCTGTATTGCTGACTTACTTCCCAGCGTTAGTCAGTTTGTTGAGGGCATCTCTGGAGATGACGTGGCCGCAGATGAGCTTCATGGGGGGGTTGCTTTCTGAGGTCTGCTGCCTGAGGATTGGGCAGGCGAACACAGAGTGGTACCAGCACTTCTTCCCCAGGTCAATTTCAATCTAAGGGAGCAGATAGGTGTGATCAGTTGAAAGGTGAATACAAATGAAAAGGAGCAATAGATGCTCTTTAGAAATTCAGAGGGACTTACAGGCAGCTCATCTTTGTGCGTCCAGACTCCACTGCACTGTCTCTGCTCTATCACCTGCTTGATGTTCATCAGCACAGGCAAGGCCATACAGCCTGATGCAAAACTGCAGAGAAACAGACATGGCGGAGGTTAATAAGTCTGACTGTGGTTGAAATCTTTTAATATCAATTTTGGTGAGTTTGTGTGTGTTGTTCATGGTTTCCTGACCTAACACTGAGAGGAGACTCTACAGAGAGGCCCAGTAAAGAGCAGGCATCCCTGGTGAAGATGTTACAGATCTCGGCCCACTGATTGGTCTCCAGCAGGCTGCGGTACGGAGAGTTATCAATGCCATGACGCAGGTACACCAGGCTGCCCATCAGGATCTGTATGTCTGCAGGGACCAAAAGAACATGTGTGATAAACAATCAAATCAAAGTTTAAAAGAGAATTGTGTGATAAGACTCAGAGAAATCATATATATGCCTGAAGGTGAAGATGGGACTCTTCCTAAAAGAGTCAGAGACACAAATAATTTAAATCTTAGAAAAGGGACATATCATCAGAAACACAGTTTTGCATTCAACCCTAAAAACTGTGAAATTAGACAATTGGTTCATTTTTTTGTGAGCGGCTTCTTTTTGAAAAATGTTAGATTAAACAAGCTCAAATTTGGCGCCACTGCCTATGTAGGCTCATTACAATATAGCACCCCCCAACTGAATGTCTCCAACAGCGGCTTGAGAACTACATTTGCAATTACCCTTGCAAGCAAATCAGAGCAGGTGCAAAAACTTTATTAAAACAAATTATGAAGTGTTTTTTTTTACATTAAAAGCATGTTAACATAATATGTCCCTTTTTTTTAAAACTGTGAAATACAAATCAAGTTGAGCATCGTTGTGCGTTTTTGCCAGGAATGTCACAACGATGATTGAGCAGATCAGCTAAACGAGCAGCATTAGATGTCGAGGCATGCTGTGTACCTCTCTGGTGCTGGGAGGCGAAGGGCTGGAAGTGCCGAGCATACTGCAGGGCCTCCATTTGGTTGCCGATTCCTCCACTGAGCAGGCTGATGAAGTACAGGCGGTGCAGCTTGAACTCTAGACTGCTGTTCAGGTCCAGGAGACGCTGCCGATTCGTCACGGCCCACCTAAAGACGCACAGACATAGGTAAGAACAGTCAACTATGTTAGGTATATATATAGAATGAACAGCTTTTTGAAATGGTGTTCTTGCAATATTATTATAATCATTATATCAGTGTGGTAAAATAGTCTTAAAATGACAACAATATGAAACTACTTCACTTTTTTTAAACTATTTTTCTTTTTGTATTTACTTTTTAATATTGACTTGCACTATATTTTTCTGTTTTATTGTGTTTATTGTGTTGCACTGTTGGAGAAGCCTGTGACCTAAGATTTTCATCGACATAACTACTCGGTAGCTATGTTCGTATGACAAATAAAGAACCTTGAATAATCCTATGAATTTCTATGGCAATATATTGTGCGACAAAAGTAGGTAACATGACAGGCCTAGATGACTTAGAGAACAAAATGAAAAGAAAAAAGAAAACATACTCCAGTGCCGGTCTGAGGTCCTGCATCCTCAGAGCCTCAAGGATTCTGTTCAGCTCCAGGAAAGGCTGCTTCATACTCATATCTATAACTACACCAGACTCCTAGAAACAGACAAGGGTAAATGTGACTTATCAAGAATTGTTACATTTATTATCCAGCCACAAATCAAGGATTAAAGTACATTTGAAGCCTTATGGTTTTTCTTAAATTAATTTTATTCAGGCTGTGTTTACATGAAACATGTTGAAAGCACTCGGCACCTACCTGGCAAAGATCCTCTGCTACACTCAGCATCCCTTGTCTGTACAGGTGCTCCACAATCGTCTCACTCAGGTATTTCTGTCTCTCAGGGGTGTCCCACACCGTCTCTGCCACCACAGCACTGATCTCTGCATCAAAATTCTGCAGAGAACAATATCAGAAATTAAGTACATGCTTAAGAAATCAAATAAAACGTTAAAGAAAGTTGCTACCTTTCCTTACCCTGTCAATGGCTTTGCCCACTTTTGACACACTGCCATGGATATCCTTATGTCGCGATGCTAGCATCTGCACTGTTTCTTTGATATTCTTACAACACTGTGCCATAGTCTGAGATAGGACTGATAGATCTGCATCTTGTACTCCTGCAAAAGAGAAAAAGGAAAAGTCTAAATTCTGCATGTCAATAACAATAGAGCTTGGAAAAAGCATCACTATTAAAGCACTATTTTCATCCATATATAAAGATATTAAAACAGGTATGAGAATAAGATTACTATGTTACACTTAAATATGAAATAGTATCGCTTTGTGGTGTTCAGTCACCTTGTGCTCATCAGTTTTACTTACCAAAAGCAACTAGTTGTCCTCGTATCTCACACACGCTGCGCAGGAGTTCGTCTAGCCTCTCCTCCGACTGGTGGCCGTACATCACGAAGCGATGAAGCACTTTCTCCAGCTCCCGCTCAACACACGCACACTGTTCCATGATTCAGACTGGAACACTCACATACACAACGACACCTAGATTTAAAAGAAAAAACAGGTCAAGCCAGTTAACTATTTATTTAGCCTTCTTAGAACTGATTTATTTTTAGGCAAGTACCAGTCTAGATATGAGAACATTTGATAACATTTACATAAAAAAAAAAATTAAAAAAAATACTAATTTTGTAAAGCCCAAGTCTAAATACAAATATTTCTAAAGCATGTTTTTAAAAAATTGCGACCAAGACACCAGGGCGTGACCCTTTAATGATGAGAAACAAACTTGTCAGTCCACAGTTTTGGCAACAATGTTTTTTAAACTAGCTCAACAGACATGACAATGGTGAAAGAATAGCCCAGCTGATGTATTTGTAAAGCTCAAATAATGAACGTTGCTGTAGTTGCTGCAGTTGAATCAATCTTAAAGAAAATCCTGCCAAAAATTCAATCTAACAAACCAGTTGCCTGTAGTATTTGACAGACCTGATCATAGTGACAACACCATGATTTTCTCACAGCTGTCACTTGACACTAAAAGGTTTTAAATAGAAATTCGACAGTTGGTAGGCACCAGATATTATTTATTATCAGGAGATAGATGCGAATCGTCCCAATACTGCCCTCATTAAAAGTGTGGCCTGGTATAACTCTGCTAACAACTAGCAAGGCCTTAAAAATGTTAAATACAGGCACACTGTGTACTCAGCGGCCTGGTGTTTACTAACGTCAGTCACCAGCGTCTCAACCACACTAACGTGTCATTTAATCCTATAAAGACAGTGTTTATCAGCCATTACTTTTGGGAATCTCGTCTGCATTCAGTTAGATGTACCTTCTTATTAGAGAAAATCCCCGATAGGTGTAGCTTTGCTGTAGCTCACCGTTTATAACCTGAATATAGAAAATGTCCACCTAGCAGTCACGTCATAGAGCTAACCAACATAAACGCAAGTTATACTTCCTATTTTAATTCCAACATAACATTTCACATTTGTAATACTCACTAACAATGATTTACGCAAAGTGTCACACGTTTCCAACCAAGTATTTTGATGAGATGCGGTAAATAAGAAAAGAAGGCTGCCGCAGAGCTAACATAAACAAACGGTGGTTGGCTAGCTAAAAAAGCTCGCCATTGCTAGCAGCTAAACAGCTAGTTGATGCCAACCCGCTGCTGACTGACAAGGCCCAAGTTATTTCAGGAGAGAATGACAATCCGCTCGTCTACAACATTGTGTACTATCCGATCTCTTTAAACATCTACCGCCTTTGAACAAAATGATATGATGTGTCTGAATAAAAGCCACTCACCTATCCTGCTAATTAGTTAGCAAACATTAGCGTTAGCCACTTGCCTGTTATGGCAACACTTCACCAGCAGTTGTAATGCGGATCTTCCTGTGTCGCATTCTGCATAAACTGGACATTTCACAATAAAAGTCCTTTTCTCTGCGACATCAAACAAACCGTAGCGTACAAAAATGAGTTTCACTATATGACTTTCCTCATGCACATCAAGCTGTCACAACTAATACTTTCAAGGTCTGCAGAAGAAGGAGTTAACGTAACGTATTTAATTTGAATGTTATAGCTGGTCAAAGTAGCTCTAATTTGAAATATGAGTTAATGGTAGCAATGCATTATATTTTTCAATCATATGTATCTAAAATCTTCATCCACAAAAATAACTTGTAAGCCGTATCTGATGTTATTTGATTATATCTAATAGTATGCCACGAGTACTGCTTATCACGAATGTGATCAGATGTACATCATTTTTTTCATTATAGATTAATCTGCTCTTCGTTTTTTTTCCGATCAATTGTGTACAAAGTGAGAAATTCCCTTACAGTTGGTGTCACCCCCAAATATATTATTATGTGTCCAAATCTCATAATTATCCATGTAGCTTATCATATTAGATAGGAAGTAAAATCAAGTGTCATACCACCACTGAATATTAGCGGCTTGTATAGAACTTGACCTTAACTAACTTGGTCAGTTTAAAAAAGACAGATTTGAAATGTGATTTTGTGTTTACATTCTTACTGTCATTAATACTAGCACCTACATTATAATAATCATGAGACTGAACCTTTGTTTAGTATCATATCCTAGAGATAGAACACAACCGGGAAAAGTAGCATGAATGAATTTAGAAATGAAGTCAGTTGTATTTATCTTTCGACAGGATTTGCTATACCAGACTGCATTTGAGATTTGCTCAATATGTGGATTAACATCAACCTCTCCCCAGCCAATCCCCCCTCATTTAAATGCTTCTTGTAATATTGCTTATAGATACCCACACATCATATTGTTTACGCATTGGTTAATAGTGTGTCGCATTGCTGAGGGTGGGTAAGGTCTTTGGACTTGAGTGGGCTGGTGTGACTAATCTATCAGTGATGTACACTAAAGCTCCCATAACTGAGGTGCTCATCATTCTTTCCCTCTGAGTCCTCCTGCTGTCTACAGTGCTGCCATAACCTCAGAGTTTCAATTATATCAACACTTCAATGCACTCTAGATCACACTATCTCACTCCCACCACTCACATATTGCCTGGTGTCCTCTCTAACCTTTAAAAACATTATTGTTCTGAACGATCAAGTTTTACACATTCACTCTGTGTCATTCCAGTAATATCTGTTTTTGTACGACACATAATGAAATAGTGTATACCAGTTTACTGTATGAGATGTAATCATATGATCCAACCTCTTTTTAGTGCATGTGAAGAGTTCAGAGGGATCATGATTCATGTTTGTCATGCCATTAGAGCCTCTAATGAAATATGAAATTATTTACAGGATATACCTGTAAGGTAATCTAGAGTCTATAAACATTAGTCTATTACAAATAATAGAGTTAATACAAAATTAATGATGCAAAAAAATATATATAGCGGTTGAAAAGCTCTATGAGTAGAGTAAACTCCACCAAGGTCAGGGACTCAGTGATTATTTTGACTATAGGAACATTAATGATGTGTACAACAGATATAACGGACCCTCATTCTAAGTTTTATGCAATATTTAGTCAGAGAGGATGTAATTAAAGGTTTTCCATTGGCTTCCCCTGAGTGACTTAATGACTGAGAATGAATGGTATAATCTCATGATGAATTAGGTTAGGGATAGAAGGCTTATCGAAACTCCCTACATACACAGACACCCAGACTGTTGCTAAGAAGGTATGGCTTCCGTAGCAATGAGTACAGTAGAATAACATGATCCCCTTTGATCAAATATTTGGTAGTGAGTGACAGAAAAGCTTTACAGTGAGCCTGAAACTTACATTTTAATTGGCTGAAGTGAGTCCTGGAACATAAAAATCCAGATATGAAAAGGAAAAACATGAACTACATCATTGTGAGAGTACCTTAACAAGTGTTGTTGCACAGGAGTTCTGCATGTGAGCAGTCAAAGTTGGGTGGTCTATGTTAACCTTTGACCTGTCCTGTTGTACCCCAGCTACACATTATAGTTCACACACACACACATGCACACACAGAGACACACAAAAACATAAAACATTAAAACACCTTAAATTTTAAGCATTATCTCATAAGCAGAGGTTATGTGGATATTGTGTGGGCTGTACTTCGAGGTTTGTTTTCCCCCTTTCTTTCCCCTCCAGCATTCCCAGGCTGAAGCTATGGCTATCTGGCCCTGATAGTATGGGTTTATATATAGAGGAGCCCTGTGACTGATCTGGCTGTAAGTGTCAGATTCCAGGCACACTCATCCGTCCTGGCTGGATCAGCACCTGCTGCTAACTATAAACCCACCCACCCCCAGCGCCGCCCCCTAGCCCAGATCACACAGGAAAGCCAATGTCCAACCAAACCCCAGCTTGGAAAAGAAAAAAGATCCAGGTTGGACACTGTAAAAAATTTCCCCGAGGCCGGCTAAGAGGGGACAGGGGAGGGGCAGAAATAGAGATGGAAGCATTAGAGGATGTAATGGGTCTGAGCGAGATGCCCCTCTTTGCTTTTCTATTCAAGTCTGATGGCAGTGTCTTTTACATTCTGAGCTTGTCTAGCCAGGGTGGCTCTGCCAGACTGGACTGTACGAGCCGCTCTGTCCTGGATTCACCATGTGCACAGTGGTCTCGTAAATGTGGAATGTGCTTTTGATTTTGAGAAAGGGTTTTGTGGATGAGGGGCAGATATTGCAACACAGAGGAACTCCATGCCCTCGGGAAAGCCTCATCACTGGCCAAGGTACAGTACCAATCATTTCGTCTTTCTCCCCTTGCATGCGGAGCAGTCAGTCCTACACAAAGCCATGTGAAGAGTTTAGAGAAAGGGCATGTATTTGGCAGAGCTAATTTTCCACTTACTGTATGTGGAAAAATGTAATTCAAAAAAAGTTTCACATCAAATATTATGTATTGATTAAATCTTGTTAATGTTTAAGTACATGTAAAGATACACATACTTTCTGGTATTAACTGAATGTTTTGGAAAACTTAAAGCGAGTTTTTGTATTGTGTTGTTGTGATCATTTCAATAGTGCTTTTAAGGGCATCGTGACAGTGTTATATTTTTGTCCTGATCCCCTTTTGGAAGTTTGAAATGCTCTGTAATATTCTCAGAACATTTATTTATTAATTATTTAATCTAAATGTGCTGTTTGCAAGGTAACAAACTGGAGAAATGCACAGTTTAGTCTCTATATTTCCTATAAATAGGCTTTTGCCACTCATTGATTTTCAACAGTGTAACTGGTGATATAAATGAATGAGCTACACACCCTCCAGGTTACCATATCTTATTTCCAGTCCAGGAACAGAGCCCAGAGCAGGCAAGAGGAGCAAACTGGACTGGCCACAGTGAGAATTTCGAGTTTGTGGACGAGCAATGGACAGCTGGACTCTACAGGGGGACAGCTACTCCTTCCTACGCAGTGCACCCCATCGTAATTTTTCCCTGTGTCATCGTGACGGCACCCCAAACCACGTTGAAATCTTTGACATCATCAACGTCCCTCAGCGCAGTGCCATTTCAGAGACAACCTGCCTTTGTGACATATTTGGAGACGACTGTGAGTCAGCCTCCCTCTCAAGCAGCCCTGCTGTAGGAGCTTTTATCATTTCCCAAAGGGAGGTGGACGGGACAGCTGCTGCATCACCTCTGGTGGATGATCTGAACGACTCCGGCTCCTACCACACTGCACCGGGCTCTAGTGAAGGAGAGGAGGGCTTTGAAGATTCAAGAGAAAGGTTTAACAGCCCCTTGTTGCAGAGCGAGTCTTCAGAGAGCAGGCAGTTCGAGGGCCAGAAAATAAGCTCAGGACATTCAGACGTTTCGGAGAAAAGTGGCCCAAATTTAGAAACAGAAAGCAAATCTCCAGCACTTCAGCTTAGTACAGTTTGCCCATTACCTGAAGTCCTAAATAGTGGTGAGAGGACCCCCTCTTCTGGACAAAACAGCCCCTATAGACTCAGTACAGAAGGACGAGCATTATCCTTGTCTTCTTCTCCAGTTGAAAAGAGATGTTCTCCCTCCTCCCCTGGTGCTAGAGAATCTGAACCAAGGACAACCACTCCAACTGTCAAAGATAGACATAACAGTCCCTCCTCTGAACCTCTGAACTGTGTCAGCTCTTCCCCCTCTGAATCAGTGAGCACACAACCATTAACTGAGTTGAGAGCAGCACAAGGCTCTCCAGAGTCAAGGAATATTTACTATAATCAACACAGCAGTCCCTCACCTGAGCCCACATCCAAAGATTTTTTTCGAGATTTGACAGAATCTGCTTTTGAAACTCGAGCCACGCTTTCATCTCCTTTACATTCATCCAGTAGTAGAGAGTTATTATCCCAGTCTAGAGAAACACTGGCCTCTCCTGAGCTGAATAATAGACCCTACTCCCCTGAGACTCAAGCTTCATCACCTTTTTCTGAGCTAAGAGGGAGGGTATCCCTGCCTGATCTCCTCAGCAGAGGCTCCACACCCGATATTGAAGAATCTCCCTACACCCTTGAGCTGATCTCAGATCCTTCTCCTCCAGAAAGAGACACTGTGACTACTCCTGAGAGCCAAGATACAAAGTTTACTCCTGAAATTGTAAGTACTGTGTCTACACCTGGCCCACAATACACACCACCATCACCTGTCATTTCAATATCAACATCTCCTGAAATTGTGGAGAACAGTGTCTCACCTGAATTAAGACACATAGCTCCCTCTCCTGGACTGCTCAGTGTAGCTTCTTCTGGGACAAGAACTCTGTCTCCCAGCCTCTCACATAAAATAGAGCACATTTCAACACATTCTGAAAGCAGTACCCAGGTGTCTTCACCTGTGGTAAGTCATAGTTTATCTGCATCACCGGAAGTTAAAAGCAACAACTCTCCCATTGAGCACAGAGACACTGCTCCTTCAC